ACACTTAGAGAAGTTTAAAGGTAATAAATTCGTAGCACACCAATTACTAACTCTATCTACATCAGACAGAAGCCGGTGTACAGAAGGGCGTTACAATTTAGATTCAACGCAATGTCATTAATGAAAATCAGAAACAATAACAGACCGAGAACTGACCCTTGTGGGACTCCAGATGTAGCATGTCCATTGATCGGAAACCACGATACTCTACTGTCAACTTCCTCTGAGATAAATAGGATTGAAAGAATTGACTAAATAAATGATTTAATCCCATATTAGCGAGTTTTGACAGTAGAATACCATGGCCCAACCGATCAAAGACCTTGGAGAAGTCCGTATAAACAACATCAACCTAACCACTATTATCCAAATGTTTCGAAAACTTTTGAAGGATTATTAATAATAATACGAGGGTGGTCTGAAAAGTTTCCGACCTCAACATGAAGATGGCAGCACTCGTAAATAAAATAGTGAATTTCGTTGTTCATCTGTTGACAGTTACTCACCAAAGTTTCAGCCATTTTGGACGCGCAGTTGTTATGTAACAGTCGTTTGAGTGAGTTGATGTGAGTGTTTTTATGAAAATGGACAAAATCGAGTATCGAGTTGTCATTAAATATTTGTTTTTGAAAGGCAATACGCCTACGCAAATCAAAGATGAGTTGGATTCTGTGTATGGGGACTCTGCGCCATCATTTACCACAGTGAAATTTAGGGCAGTTGAATTTAAACGTGGCCGTAAGAGCTTGGGAGACGATGAACTTTCGGGACGTCCAAAAACTGCAACTACCGACGAAAACATCGCCAAAGTTCACCAAATGGTGCTAGACGACCGCCGAATTAAAGTGAGAGAGATAGCAGAGGTTATGAACATGTCAAAAGAACGTGTTTGTCACATATTAAATCAACATTTAAACATGAGAAAGCTGTCCGCGCGTTGGGTGCCGCGTTTGCTCACGTTAGACCAAAAACGTGTTCGAATGAACATTTCCAACGCTCTGTTGGCGCAGTTTAGGCGCAATAAATCCGAGTTTTGGCGCCGATTAATTACTGTAGATGAAACTTGGATACACCATTATACGCCCGAAACAAAAATACAGTCCAAACAGTGGACTGCAAAGGGGGAACCGGCTCCAAAAAAAGCAAAAAACTTTTTTTTCGGCTGGGAAAGTGATGGCGACTGTTTTTTGAGATAATCATGGAGTTATTTTAATCGATTATCTTCAAAAAGGAAAAACCATTACAGGAGCATACTACGCATCATTACTTGACAAGCTGAAGGCAGAACTTGCGGAAAAACGGCCACATTTGCAGAAAAAGAAAATCCTGTTTCACCAAGACAACGCACCATCTCACACCTCAGCGGTTGCCATGGCGAATTACGGTTTGAACTGCTTGACTATCCGCCTTACTCACCAGATCTAGCCCCAAGCGGCTTCTTTTTGTTCCCTCATCTAAAAATTGCGCTCGGAGGACAGACATTTTCGTCAAATGAAGAGGCAATCACCTTCGTGAACAATTATTTTGCAGAGAAAAACGCCGAGTACTATTTGGACGGGTTACACAGATGAGAGCATCGCTGGGAGAAGTGTGTAGAGTTACAACGAGACCATGTTGAAAAATAAAAAAAAAAAATTCTGAAAAAATGTCTTGTATCTTTGTTTGGTCACTTCACCCCCTCGTAGTTATGGGGTGATAGTTTTCAATATCACTCTTGTTGTCCATTGGACAAATTCGACTCGATTTCTACATAATAGGAAATTTGCCCACCTTTAAGGATAGACTGAATAAAAAGCACAATGGTTTAGCGAATATTGGCCCACAATCCTTAAAGAAGAAAGCGGTCCGTTAGGTCCGGCTGTAAATTTAAGTTTCGATATCTTTAAGGCAAATAGCACTTCATTCTCAGAAAATGTAGGAAATTCCCACATTTTCATTTCCACTGGGAATGCTACAAGAGGAACGATAAATCGGCTGATTGTTGAAAATTAGAGTCGAAGACACAATAAAACTCGATTGAAAGTAACGAGCAAAACCATTTACAATATCACAGGGATTATCCATACATGTATTATTGTAATTCCTGCAATTAGGAATACAGTTCACTTTCCTCTTGGAATTCAAATAGGGCCAGAACTTAGAAGGATCAGATGTTATTTGCTGTTCCCTCTTAATTTCAGCCCTTAAGTTATTAAACTTGGCAAAGATATTATCATTATTGGTTCTCTTATAATCAACCCATAATCTATACTTCAACTTCAGTTTTTGAATTATGTCATTAGTGTAGGTGCCACAATGGATACTAAACGCTACCAGCAATAGATGCCTTAACCTTAAAATAAAAAACCTCACAAGCTCTGTCAACATCATCCTCTTGCATAAGATCGTCCCAGTTAATATTGAGTAGATCATCATATAATTTTGGATAATTGGCTTTACAAAAGTTATACCTGCGTTGCAATGGGTTTATAACATTAGTTTCAATAACACCTAATGTAAAGGCAATTTCAAGAGCAGGATGATATCTATCTTCAAGTAATAGCAACTGAAAAATTTGTGCGACTAAACACCAAGTCAAGAAAGCGTTCAATACTCGATTATATTGTGTAAGATTTAGGAAATTTGAAAAATTAGTTTTAGACACCATTAATCCATTTTGCAGCGATGGCTCACACTGTAGATTGTGAAATATTATAGTCACCCTGGATAATCAAATTGTCATCATTCAAAAAGTCCATACAACATGTGATCACAAAGATAGCATATACGTCTGAGCCTAAATTTGGAGGAATAATAATAATAATAATAATAATAATAATAATATCATTCTCATTCTAATTACGAGAATTAGCCCATAAGTCGGAGACTTGTGCGGGAGAGGAGGCGGCAATAGACCGCATGATATGTTTTCTTCACCATTATGAGAATTGTTCAAATTTCCGGTCAGATCTGAAGACTACAAAGTCATCGTTAAATACTTCAGTCTAGTACGGATGAATTCAACCACGTTTCGCTTAATGCAATTACGTCAAAGGAACAATCAGCAGAAGCATTACATATGTTGATAAGTTTTGTGTTTAAACCGCGAACATTTTAATAATAGATATTTAGATTTTTTATTTTATTATTCCTTTGATGAATTGATTGATCGAATGCAGAATCAATATTAGGATGCACATTAGCATATCTGATTTAATTGCTATTTTATGCCAAACATAGGTATCTGATTTGAACTTTTCAAGTTTTTCTGCGAAGATGAGACATTGGGAATCCCAGGCAGCATGATTTATACTAGATAGGCCTCTAGAGATAAAATTGATACACTTAAAACTTAAACACACATGGATCAGAAATTTAACAATCGCTGATCTTATGGTCGACACTACATTTAGGACAGTTATCAATTTTATTACAATTTTTAACAAAATGCGAAAAGCCACAATATTTGTAGCACATTCGAAGCTCTATAGCATCAAAGACTCTTGCATAACCTTTTTATAAGAATTAACATCCAATGACAACTTAGCCTGGAATAGGTTTTTATTTATTTTTTATTTTTTCAAAGGAGAGACGTCAATAACGGTTAAGTTTGAGTTTTTCAAAAAAACGTGTTGATTCTATTTCTTCAATAAAGTTACCAGTTCATCTGGTTCATGTTTTGCTGTAAGTTCAGAAATTCTTATTCTCAGGTTAATAGATCCAAGTAACTTGATCTCATAGTTAACAGCTAGTTTATTATCAGCTAGTTACTTAAACTTCACAATTTCTTCCTTACTAGAATACCCAACCACAGTACCACCATCTCGAACATTTTTGATCCTTGAGACATGAAGACTTGTTTCTATCGGATTTATATTTTTTAGAATATCAGATCTAGTTTTGGAGTACGTCTGAGAATAACTGCGTTGGAAATAGTAGGGTTTTTTTAAACTGAAGCATACGATACCGATGGTTGGGTTTCGTCCGCAGAAACAATAATTGGAGATATTCTTATGGCATCCTGTAGTTCTTGTACTTTCCTCACAAATGAATCATTCACGTTGTCCTTAAATGATAAAAGTGTATCATTCGTTCTCCTATAAAAGCGATGCTAGAGATGCTACTGTTAAACTTGTTTAAGGATGTTGTTTCAACAACTTGGCATTTTCGATGACAAGAATCACAAACATATAAAAGGTTTTTTAATTTCTGCATCACTTTAAAATCTGAATCAGTCAGACCAGCACAAGAATAGTACCATTTACCGCATGGACCTTCACAACCTACCAGACCATCTGGCTTGGTTCTACGACATTTAGTACAGTCCGACATATTAACTTTCAATCCATCTCTTTAGTCGTGCAATTGATCCACGCCCCGTAGAAATATTAGCAAAAACTTACTGTGGATCTTCTTGACAAAACACTGAGTTCACAAATAAATAACTCGTGTAGACACCCACAGTTATAGTAATGTCTTGTAAGACACTTTGCAACTAATAACACTATTATTTACTATTATTATTAATAGATTTAGATTAATTTAACATACTAAATACATACATTTAACTGCTAAATACGTGCGTACTCGATCCACTACTTCGCACAACTTGTTCAAACCATTCAAACCATTTTAAGATATGTTGAAAGAGAAACGAGAAAAGGGCACCAGTCGGTTTAGTCAAAAATCGAGAAACGCCCTGTAGCTCGAAAACGGTAACAGATAGAGAAATGAGGTTTGCGTCACTATTGTTTTCTAGAAAAAAAGAGCTCTGGGCTCGTTTATCAGATTTGCTCTATCCATGACAGATTGGAAGTAACCCTTAAAAACCGACCAATTTGAACCACCTTGTACGTTAGTATAAAATAAAACTTTAGTTTTTGATACAGAGAAATAAATTTATTTATTTACTGATTAAGAGCAAAATCCCTTCCATATTGAAATTCACTAAAAATACAAATTGAAACAAATTTCATACAATTGCAATGCATGTTATTTAATTTTGAAACTTATATTTTCAGAACGTCCACTTTTGATACATAATACAAAATTTGACATAAGGCAGTGGTTTTTAATTGGTGGCACTGTACCATTAACGATATGGATGTACAAGTAAGTATACGTATATTTTCTTATGTATACTAACTATAAAACAGTTTCGAAACTACCTACACCAAAAGGTAATAGGGTCAAGTGGAAGGGGCAGGGGGTCAAACCACTAGAGGATACGGATTTTACAAAATTATATTTGTTATACAGAGTAATTCACAATCGGTGACCAAAAATGATACCTCGTATTCATTGACGAATTTTAAGGGGATTCTTTCGTATAAAGTTTTATCTAGGACGCTTCGTTAAAAACATACAGGGTGTTAAACTTAAAAAAAATATTTTTAATTTTTTTAAATAATTTAAAAACTAGTAAGTGAAATAATTTGAAATTGGACACATGTATTTATGTAAATATTGTCTAAAATCTGAGGCCTTTTCCTAAAATTCAGATGCTCCAGTGGCGGAGAAACAGGGTATCGGTGGCATATTTTTCAAAATAAAATAGTACGACACTGCTGTACAGTAAAAATCATGATATTTTCGAAATCGTCTTTCAATTTTCTATAAATTACTACTCTCTTATGTTTTTCGAGACTCCCTTAAAATTTACCAAAGAATACGCATACGAATAACGCGCATACGCATAAGAATACGAATCACCCTGTATGATTTTTATATCTCGGATCTGGAAGTAATAGGGACAAACCATACATGCCTTAAATATTGCCGATTTAAGAAATACGAGGTGTAGAAAATTAGAATTTTAATTTGAAAAGTAAAATATCTAATAATTTCCGATTAATTTTGGCGAGGCTCATACGGAGCGCTATACTGAGAGAAATTTTTTGCTACAATTAGTAAAAATTTACTAACCCTACGCACATTAAATAGGTGCAAAGTGAATTGCTTCCTTACCATAACGAAATATATTTTGCTAATTGCAGTACTTAAGTAAAATGTTTTGCTAACAATTTTTATTACCCTAAGCGAGGCAACTCATTAATCACAAGTAAGCAGCTTACCTATACTAACTTTAATTGCTTTTAATGATTTAAACTGACATTTTGTTGCTATAAGTAAGTCGATTCATTATCTGTAAGTAAGCTAATATTTAACTGCTGCTAGTAAATTAAGCAATATATTAATCAAGGTGTTAATTAAATATATGCACAAGCTTTAAGAGATTGTTTGAGTGATTTTACACCAAAAAGATTATACAGGGTGTTAAAAAAAGAGTGTAAAATATTTAAGGAGGTAATAGTATGAACCAAAATAAGCAGAAAAGTCTCAATAAATATGGGTCCGCAAAGTAACGGTTGCAGAGATATGGAATGTTTTATGTTTTTTAGCCCCTTTTTTTATTTTGCAAAAATGTTGTGTATTTTCTTATAATAGTTGGTTGATGTTTAGTGAAATAAACAGTACGTATTTGACAGTTGTTCTCAGTGCACAAGTTTTCTTTCGCTATGGCTGGTTACTCTAACGCAGAATTAACAGACATGCATTTCATATATGGTCGTGCTAATGGGAACGCCACCGAAGCGCGACGTCTTTATGTTGATGCTTATCCAAATCGCCAGATTACTTCACAGCGCATGTTTGGAAGAATTCACCAAAGATTGCGTGATACCGGTTCCTTGAGCAAACAGTGCCATTTATCCGGAAGACCAAGGTCGATATCCACTCCTAGAGCAGAAGAAGAAATTCTAGCACTGGTAGTGCAGAATCCAGGTACGAGTGTGCGGAGAATATCAGCCGAGGTAGGAATTAGTGGTCCTCTTGTTTGGAGAATCCTTCACGAGCAACTGCTTTATCCATACCATGTGCAACGAGTACAGGCCTTAAATCCAATAAATGATCATCAAGCACGTTTAGTTTTTTGTCCCTGGTTTATACGTCATGATGCTGAAGACCCTCGTTTTCTTGCAAATATTCTTTTTACTGATGAGGCCGGGTTCACAAGAAATAGAGTGTTTAATTTTCACAATACGCATATTTGGGCCGACGAAAATCCTCATGCTCTAATAGAATCTGGACATCAGGCACGTTTTTCATTAAACATTTGGTTGGGTATTGTAGGTGACAGGTTTCTAGGTCCTGTTGTTTTACCAAACCAATTAACAGGCGCTGCTTACCTCAACTTTCTGCAGAACACACTGTATGAGTTTTTGGAAGACATTCCTTTGAATCATAGGCAACAAATGTGGTTCCAACATGATGGTGCTCCAGCTCATTTTTCCATGGCCATTAGAGAGCATTTACACCAAACTTTTCCACATAGATGGGTAGGAAGGGCCGGACCTGTTTTATGGCCTCCAAGATCGCCTGATCTGAACCCTCTAGATTCCTTTGTTTGGGGATATTTGAAGACATTAGTGTATGGTACTCCTGTAAATAGCCTGGAAGAGCTGCAGCTACGGATTAATCAAAAGTGTCAAGAAATCCAAACCAAAAGAAAGAGTTCGAATATCGTTGAGACGAAGATGTCGTGCCTGCTTGTAAATGGACGGAGGGCACTTTGAACATCTGTAACTTTGTTTTTTGTTTGTTAAAAGCTTCCTTTGTCGGTTTATTCCTAATAAAATAAAATGTTTGAAAAACGAATAGAGGTCCATATCTCCGCAACCGTTACTTTGCGGACCCATGTTTATTAAGACTTTTCTACTTATTTTGGTTCATACTATTACCTCCTGAAATATTTTACACTCTTTTTTTAACACCCCGTATAAACATAAATCCGCAAATCTATAATTTTCGAAGGGTATTGCAATTTAAAAAAAATTATGTTTTCTAAAGTATGTTAGAAGACGTTTAATGCAGAATGATGAAGTTTAGACTAAAAATTTATCTAATTAAAGATACAAAAAATTCACTGAATCCACCGGGAGTTATTTATATTCACTGAAAACCTCAGAAACTCAATGCCGTGATATCTTCAAAATTCGATCATTACCTACCACTTAGTCCTGTAATCTGGCATCCGGATTATCAGTACAGGATCAGTTGTGACGTTTCCATGGAAAATGGATTAGAGATAAAAAATTGCTGCGTTCCTATATAAATAGGCAACCAGTGGCGGAGATATAATGAATCACTGAATATTCGCGAATTTCAATCACTAGGTACTTTTCATTTCTAGCAATATTTCTGGAAAAAAAGAAATTACTTTATGTACTTACCTACTTTATTTTAAGAACTATTTTTGAGTTATTACCATTAACCACCCTGTTGAATTTAAAATTATTTTAGAGAAATTACTCTTTCACAAAAAAGTTTTATTAGAAAGACCATAACTCAAGTCTATTTTCATCGAAAAAACTTTTATAACCCATCATTTTGTAGGAAATGTTATAACTTTTTTTTCTATGAAGCAATACCTATACCTATCTCTGCTCGGAAAAGTTATTTGCATAAAAGAAAAAAATACAAAAAATGAATTTTTTGCATTTTTTTTAATTGTTTTTAATATATTTTGTAGTAAATAATTTTTTTAAAAATTTTTTAAATAAGCTATTTCGATAGAAAATCTCATTATCTACAAAATTTTTTCTATGCAATGCCCTCAAATTTTGCTTCGTTCTCGAGATATACTCAAAAAACCATAAGGGTTGCATTTTCACCCCATCTCCAATTTCAACCGTCTAATTTAATAGCACTCCGCGATTTTTTCTTTCTGAATAACCGTTTGAACGATTCATGCAATAAAAACCCATCAACGTTGTAGTCATGGGCGAAGTTAAGTCATCGGATCTGGGGGGGCTAAGGCCCTAATATGAAAAAATGTATATATTTTTTTCATTTTATTTTTCTGAATGTATCAAAGTAAGGTAAGTATATTTTTCTACCAACCCATAAATATTAAAATTAAATGAAAAAAAAATTTTTTTTTCAGTCAAATAATTTTATTTTAAAAGTTATTAAAATAAATTCTTCCAGAATATCGTCTAGAATCAGGGATTTTGAAATGTCACTTTCAATGTTAGCAAGTGCTAAAGAACTGAATCGATCTTGACCCACGGTAAAATTTGGAAATGTGTCTTTTCTGACAACATAAATGTAATATCGGATATACCTACTAATATTTTCGTCCCGTTTCCTGACACAGTTCTTTATTACGGTCGTTTCCGCTTTTAAAACCTCTTTATCAATTCCTACTTCTGTTGGGCAGTGACGCCGACTTGGCTTCGATTGAAATAACTTTCAAGTATGAAGTTATTAAATTATACAATTTTTTTTTGAAGTATGTTTTTTATTTTCTGTTCTGATGTGTATGTGTAATAATGTTTTTGGGGAGGCTAATTCGGATTTTGGAGGGGCTTAGCCCCAAGCCCCCCCTTAACTTCGCCCATGGTTGTAGTTTCTTAGTACCCTGCTTTTTAAGACATAATCAATAGCCTAAAGCGGAGAAAAACTAATTTGAATACTTAATAAGTAAAATAACATTCTTTCATTCTTCGATATTTTGTCTTATTCTTTAGGTGATAATTTAATTTTATCGTCATATCCAAACCAAAATTTAAAAAGTCGTATGTCTTCGTGAGCAGAATTGAAAAAGCTTTAGAATGAGGAGTCACATAGTACCTCGTTTTTTTTTATTTTTTTTTTAATTCCGATATTTTCCGGGTGAAAAGTTTTAATTGAAACACCCTGTATATTAACAATAATGAATACATTAGCATCATAACTGATGTGTATTTCATTAATACATACATAACGGTAAACAGAATTAAATTTCTGTTAAATTTATTTCAGGCGGTGTTACATTCGTTTCAGTTCGCAAACTTACAATTTGCGAAAACTGCATGAATCAATTCACTTAACGAATAATGCAGTTCAATCTCGATACCGAGAAGCAAACCGAGATATTGCCCTGCCTTCTTACAATATGTGGGACTCTGTTCAATTTAAAAATTATCTCTCAGGTAAAAAACAATATTTTCTATTTTATCTTTATTCACTATTCTAAATTTTTAGATATAGGCTACCCAAAGGCATATGATACTATAATTTATCCTGGAATGAAGCAGTGCATAATCGCTGCTGTATTAATACACCAAGATAAACTAGATCGAAGGAAAAACTGTTTCGAATTGTATGGTGCAGATTTCATGTTAACTGAAGATTTTAAGCCTTGGCTAATAGAGATAAATGCTAACCCAGCTCTGCATGGCTCTACCCCAATAACAGCAAGAATGTGTCCGCTAGTTTTAGAAGACGTAATAAAAGGTGAATATAATTATTTTGAAGACACCATGTTATACATATAGAAAGTAGATTAAACCGTAACCACAGATTCTTTGCTCGTCTTTTTCGAGATACAAGGTCTCAAATGTAAAGTACATACAGTCAAAATCGAACAAAAAAAAAGATGATAACATTTTTTTGTCAAAAAAAAAACCTATAAAATCATTTATCGATCACATAAATTCAAAACAAATTTCTTTATTGAAATAAATAATACCTACACTTATCATAGGTCGCCCTATGTATATCCTATAGATAGATTCAAATTTATACCTACATAATGTTAGTTACAAATGATTCTGCCGAAGAAAAATATCTACATTCCTCTACATGTCCCCCTTGAAAAGAAAATCGACGTGTCCCAGTTTCTTTTTTGTTTTTTTTCTTTTTAATTCCGATATTTTCCAGGTGGGAAGTTTTAATTGGAGCACCCTGTATATACATAAGTATTTTTATTTATTTATCTATTTGTACAAAACGTTTGGTGGCAGCTTGACAATTTTGAAACCGAATTTCAGAGCTAAAATCACAAACTTTTTAGTGATCCAATAACATAATACATAAGGTGATTGATTCTAAGTTAATCTAATTTCAAAAATAAATTAAGAGAACATTTAACCAAAACCCTTGCCGTAGCTAAACATAACAGGAACAGAAAAATTCCAATCCGTTAATGGAACATAATATGTAATTATTTGACAGTTGTGAATATACAGGGTGATTCAGATCTAATCGGAAAACTTCCATCAGGTGATACAACAAAAAATTTTAAACATGGTGTTAATGATAAGTTTTTTTTTCCAAATCTACATTGTCCAACAAGGAATACTATTTCAAGCGTTCACCGTCGAACTTGTAAAACTGCATGTTTGTTGCTACCAAAACGTCGAGCAAGNTTCAGATCTAATCGGAAAACTTCCATCAGGTGATACAACAAAAAATTTTAAACATGGTGTTAATGATAAGTTTTTTTTTCCAAATCTACATTGTCCAACAAGGAATACTATTTCAAGCGTTCACCGTCGAACTTGTAAAACTGCATGTTTGTTGCTACCAAAACGTCGAGCAAGAGAAAGACCTGTTTGTACAGTTAATTTGGTAGACAGAAATTTGGAATCTGTAGATGAAGGCCCATCTACCAGTACCAGACCGATATCAACAGATTTGCGCCCATATCATGTCCAGCGAGTTCATGCATTAAGTGAAAATGATTATCAACTGAGAATTGAATTTTGTCAGTGGTTTTTACAACAATGCGAACAGCCTGATTTTCAGTTATTAATATTATTTACCGATGAAGCGAAAATTACAACACAATTTACAAACGATTTCGAATTATCATCATAATAACCACCAATGGGCGGATGAAAATCTGCATATTATTTCTCAACGTCGAATCCAAGAACAGTTTTCTCTGAATGTTTGGGCAGGCATTGTAGGCGATTACTTGATTGGTCGCTACTTTTTACCAAGAACCCTCGTTGTTGAACTTATCAAAGGTTCCTACAAGAAGAATTGCCACAACTTTTGCCTTTGAGGTAACGTCAATTATTGTGGTATATGCATCATGGGGACCACCTCATTGCAGCCTTACCGTTAAACAGGTGCTGAATAATCAGTATCCTAATCACCAGATTGGTAGAGGACCCATTGCTTGGCCGGCTCGTTCCCACAACCCGTATCCCTTGGATTACTTTTTTGGGGCTACCTCAAAACTATGGTGTATCGTACTCCAGTTCGAAATGTAGACGTACTTTGACAGCACATTGTAGAGGGTTTCGCAACCATACACAATACAGCTGGAATTATGAGGCGTGTAAGACAGTCAATGCGGAGACGCTGCGTAGCATGCATTGCCTCCCAAGGACAGCATTTTGAACATTTCTTGTGATGTATAGTGTTTTGAAATCTCTCAAAAATATTAGGTATTGAATTTATTGTTACACATTTAGCAATCAGTAGAAAATGGTAAATAGCAACGTAGGTACTTAAGTATCTTCTTATTTGATTTCCCAATTATCTAAAGACCAGTAATTAATTATTACTTTACTAAGAATACTTAAGATTATTTTAAAAACCAGTGGCATACGATTTAGTACGAAGTTATCCATGAAAAAATAGTCCTTACTAAAAAAATGTCATCCCCCGAATTATATCACTCAATCTTTTATGCCAGTGAATACAGGAAAAATAATATAAACATTTGAAACTTTTAATACCCTGTATCTCCATAGAGAAGCGTCCTATCAAACATTTTTAAATGGCAAAACTTGATTATTTTCATTGGTACAATACGCTATTAGTTTGGCAAAACTTATCATTAACACCCTGTATAGTGTCGAAATTAGAGAACAAAAATAACATGTTAATGAAAATTTTTAAAAGTGATAAATCAAAAATGGTTCGTTTTCGAAGAAAATGAGGAAGTTATAGAAGTTGCAAGTAGCATCAAATTTTCAAAATAGGTATCTAATGAAATCGAATTTCTGGGGTTTTCAGTAAAATTAACTTCCGGTGTCTCCATCACTGGCACATATATTTACATCCGAATTCGGTGGATTTTTAATTAGATAAATTATTAACTACTCCAAGTTTTGTCATTCTGCATCAAAAGTCTTCAGCGAGTGAAGTTTTACTAACCGTAACAAATAGGTTTATTGTATTGGTGTGATAAACTTAAGTATTTCAAATTTAAAGAAATAACTCGAATATGCCTTGCTTTTCGAATAAGTGACTGCAATACTTGTTTGAAATGGATAGATGACTGGTGTAAGGGGCAGGCACTGTCCCTGACAAAACGGTCGTAGTACCCTTCATCAGGAGAAGAAATTTAACTGGACTCTCTGAACCTATAATAGGGGAGAGGGGCATTACACTTTCTAGGGAAGTAAAATATCTAGGAGTGATACTGGATAGTAAGGTTACCTGGAATGCGCACTTAGAAAAAGTGGTGAGTAAGGCAAAGCAGACATTGTGTGTATGCCGTCGCCTTATTGGGAAAACCTGGGGACTGAAACCAAAGATGTCACACTGGTTGTATACGTCGATAGTAAGACCCAGGATTCTTTACGGCGCGGTGGTATGGTGGCAGAAAACACAACAGACCACAGCGAAGGAAAAACTGAATAGAATTCAGAGATTGGCCTGTTTAGGTATAACGGGGGCGATGGCATCGACCCCGACAGCTGCACTAGAAGTCATGCTAAATCTGCCACCGCTGCATATAGTGGTGGAGAGAGAAGCGCGGCTAGCAGCATATCGACTCAGGAATAATAATGACTGGAGGGGTGGTTCCCACTCCAGGATCAAAGATACATCTATGTCGGAACCAATTCTTGGGATGGTATCCGACAAGATGGTTCCAAAGTTTCACTTCCACAAGCCATTTGAGACTCGAATAGAGGATCAAAGCGAGTGGGAGGAAAGGTTTAATACCCTGGAAAGGTGGAGCCTAGTATGGTTTACAGATGGCTCCAAAATGACCAGAGGGACGGGTGCAGGAATATATGGACTCAGACCCAGATGGAGTGCAAGCTACAGTCTGGGGGAGTTCCCTACTGTATTCCAAGCAGAAATCTTCGCAATAATGGCGTGTCTGGCAGAGAATGTACGTAGAGGTTATAGACGTAAACTCATATATATATTCTCTGATAGTCAAGCTGCAATTAAAGCTTTAGCCGCACACAAGGTAAGTTCAAAACTGGTGTGGGACTGTTTACAAATGCTGACTGAACTGGCCACCAACAATACAGTCAGACTGTGTTGGGTGCCAGGGCACAAAGGCATTTGTGGAAATGAGAAAGCGGATGAACTTGCGAGGAAGGGATCCGAGACAGTGTTCATTGGCCCGGAGCCCTTCTGTGGCACATCTCCCAGTGTGGTCAGGCGGGCTCTGGGCAAATGGACAGAGACAGAACATAGGAAATACTGGACTTCAAGGCCAGGACATAGCCATTCCAAGGAGCTTATGGAGTATCCTTCGAATGGAAGAGCGAATGAGTTACTGAGCTTGAATAGAATCCGGCTCAGGAGAGTGACAGGACTCATAACGGGACACTGTCACTTTAAGAAACATCTACATAGACTAAAGCTTGTAGACAGTCCGGTCTGCCGAGGATGTGAATCGGCGGATGAAACTTCTCTGCATATCCTGGGCGAGTGCCCGGGATTTGCACGTAGCAGAATGGCGCTCCTTGGGAGACCCTATTTGGAACCCAAGGAACTGAGAGAAGTGTCAGCAAGGAAGCTTTTGGACTTTGTAAAAAGGACAAATCTACTTGCTGAATAGGACTAGTAGTGGGACGCACAATAGGCCTAATTAGGCCGCGGTACTATGGGACTTTTTAAAGGACCAACCACTAGATGAAGATGAAGAAGATGAATACTTGTTGAACTTGTGCATTTCTTTTCTTTTCTTATGTCAGCTTGGTGAAGTATAATACAATGAAATTGTTGACGATGATCATAATAATGATGATGATGATGATCTTAATAATGATAATGATCATAACAAAAATGATGATGATCATGACAATAATGATAATGTTTAAAAACAATAATTATATGTATGTTTTAATGTGTACATACTTCCAAATTTGTAAGATTTAATCAATTCTTCTGTAGTATATATGTGTAAAATTCCATTACACATCTATATTGTATAAAATCTTCGAATAAATAAAAACCAATGTTTTAAAATTACTGTAGTTGTTTATTGAAACATTATTACTTTATCCCTAAAAATGTTTGTAATAGGCTGTATGAGTAATAGCATAGAACATTAAGAAATAGAAAGTCTCATGCCAGGTATTTTTAACCGGCATAGATGTGGTATTATTTTTTCTTAAAAAAAATATTTAAAATATAATTTGGTTGTAGTTTGAAGCGGTTACCCGATAGGTTGGTCAAAAAAAATAATTTTAAAACGTTATGTACCAAGGTATTAGCACCAGATTTGACGAGGCACTAGTATATATTTTATTTCTAGGCACAATTAACTAAATTTTAAGCATAATTTTAAGTGATTACCTACTCTATTGGTATAGTTTCTATATGAAAAATGTTCTGTAGAAGTAACATACCAATCTTATGCACCAACTCCGCCCTGGCACTAAATGATTTTCTTAATAGTCACAGTAAGTGAAAATATTTCATTCGGTTAATCGATTGGCCAACTTTTTTGCAGCCAACTCTTGGACTACAACAGGATCAGAAACATTAAAAAAAAAGTTATAATTCCTCACTCACATTGCATGCTTTACAGAAAATAATCTTTAACCATGATTATTGTGGTAATACTTTGGTACTTCTACCTCATACATTGACAATTTTACAAAGTCCACTTTTTATGGAATTAAAATTTATAATAAAACTCATCTTAGTTAAAAACATAGATCAAGCCTGGGTCTAGGGGGGGTGGGGGACTACGTGGGCTATATCGCAATCGCATTCCAAAAAGTGTTTAGATTTAGAAATTTTATATCGGGAAGTTGCTGATTGCATGACCTTTTTTTCTAGAATCAAAACAAAATGGTTTTGAAATTTTATATCGTTTTTTTTTAGAAAAAAGGCTTCGGTAGAGCTTGCAGCCCCGACCTGACATAGACACTTTAAAAGTGTTTAAAAGTTTCAGCATTATTATTACAAAATTGCTTTTATTAGTATGATGAATATTTCAACTATTAAGATTTCTTTTTAAATATTTCCACGTTTTCGGCTATTTTACTTTTTTACTTCTTTTTATGCTGTACTGATATTAATTGTATAGAGGATTCGTTTTAGGCTCAGCTGCAAAAAGCCATACCATATCTGTGCATTTCTTTTTTTAGTGGTTTAACAGTTAATAAAAATTTGTATTATTATCTACCATTCAACATTTGACAACTAAATAATTAAACCTGATTACATATTAATACATACATACCTAATTAGTTTCTTCTTTTGCAGTTGTCGTAGATTATGACGCAAATAAATCTGCCAGTACTGGAAGTTTCGAACTAGTATATGAAAAAAATTTACCCATCGACATTAAAAACCCAAATCTCCAGGTTCAGGGAACACCAGTGACAGCTAATTACTTCTACGAACCTGAGGTAAAAGAGGTAAAACCTCCCGAGGTTGAAAAAATGATTACGCAAAGTTTTCCGAATATGCAAGGACCAGATGCTATAGACTATGTAAAGCATATCGGTAATGGAATGAGAAAGACGCTGGAAGATTTACTACTGATACTAAGAAAAGAAAAGGAGAAAAGGCATGCGAGAAAAAATAAAAGTGTAATAACTGTTTTATCAAATATTATTACAGAAACAAAAGAAAGTCAAACAGAATACAGAAATCATAGCAGAATAATAAGTGAAACCTTCATTAAATCACAAATTTTAGAAGTTAAGGAGCCAGAGATGTGTCAAAAAGGGGCTAAAAATAAGAAACAAGTCCTTCCTGCAACCAATGTTTCTATGTTGAATTCTGGATCCAAACATAAAAGAGATAGTGAAGTCCAAAAAAAGATGCCAAGTATAAATAAAAAACTGCAACAAAATGAAAAAAATACTATTATTAAATCCAAGACAAATGTCAACATAGTAAAAGGTAATAAAGAAACAAAACCAATAGTTAGCAACAAGGCGAATGTAAAAATAAAACCACAAAAAGAAATGGAAGTAAAATCACTTGTTCAACCAAAGTTAGATGTAACTGAAAATCCTCAAGAGAATGGAAAGGAAACAGTAACAATTAATCAGTCCAAGTCAGATAGAAATAAATCGCTTCAAGGAATTGAAAAGGAAGCAAAAACGACCATAGAATCCAAGTTGGATATAAATGAAAAACACCAAGAAAACAAAAATGAAATTATTCAACCAAAATTAGATGTAATTGAAGAAAATCAAAATGGAAATAAGGCACAAATCATTATTCCATCCAGGACAGTTGTAAATGAAAAATTTCAAGAAAACCGAAGGAAAAGAAAATCATTCTCTCAAAGCAAATCATACACTTATGGAAAATCTCAACAAAATGAAAAAGAACCAGAAATCATATTCCAGTGTAAGTCAGATATAAGAAATTTTCAAGAAAATGAAGACGCAAAACTGACTATTCAATATAAATCAGACATAAATGAGAAACTTCAAGAAAATCGAGAGGAAGCAAACACAATTACTCAATCCAAATCAAATACATATGAATTACCACAAAATGAAAAGGAAAAAAGAACAATTATTCCACCTGGAAATAAGCAAAATGAGACTGAAACGAAAAAGGATCAAAAAAACACAAACAGTGTTAAAACTAGTGATCATAATTCTAGTTTACACAGTAACCCTGAACAGTTAGATAAAGTTAAAATAAATAAATGTAATTTAAACACCAGTAACACCTTAAGTGTAACAAATAATGAAATTAAGGACAAAACACAAACTAACTCCGTTTCAGGTAATGCATCTAAAACTACAACGGATAATGCATCACAATTAAATGATGCTGCAAAGAAAACACTATTAAATTGTTTTCTAAAAGCAAAACAATATGTAACAGATAAACAGCAATGATTTACTCTAAACTTGTACTTGCACTTTATAGAAAATACAACAGTAATTGTACCATTTTAAATTTTTCTTATCTATCTATATTCATATGAAAGGTTCTTTTATTTCATGTATTAATACAATGTTTGTAATTGTCCACTTCACATACTATACACTAATACTAGCTAAATAACTGGTTTTAAAGAAAAAGATAGTTTAGGCCTCGAATTGTTCTTGCCTAATATCTTTTTCTGTTCTTCTTTCGTCCTTTTCTCCTGTTCTTTCCTCAGCCGCTGCCTTTCCTCATCTATTTTCCTTTGTTCCTCCACCATCGCTAACCGTTCTTCTGCCTAATTTTTAAAAGATAATTAGTTCCGTCACAGAATTTAAAATGCAATTATAACGACTTCAAATATTATTTCTCATCTATTCTTACATTTTATATTTTAAAATTTTTTTGCAGCAAGTAAATATTTTGTTATAGGAAAATTTGATTTTAAATTAAACAATTTTATCGCATTGTATTAATATTTACAAAATACTACTTAGTTTAACTTTGTGTATTCAAAAAATAATATTTCAAATTACCAATTTCTTTTGGGCTTCCTCGATTTTCTTTTGATTTTCTTCTAAAATTTTTTCCACCATTTCCTGCTTTTTCCGTTCTTCTTCCTATAAAACATTTGACATAATTACAAATCGCACCGAACCATATTGCGTCCGCTCCTAGCTCACTTTCGAGACACATATCTTTGCATTATTAATAAATTTTGAAAACAGATGCAAAAAGTGATAAGTAAATGCAAAGGCATGTAACACAATCACCTCTCTCACACCATTGGGATTTTAAGGAACAAAATTATTCAAATTGTAATATTTTTTATTTACTACCCAATCTCTTACCGAGGAAGTTTTCCAAAAAATCAACGGAAGTTAAATTACCAAATGTCACCTTTAAATGCCATTTCAAAATCTACCCTATTTTATGAAAAACACATGGTACTTTTTACCTCTTTCTGTAAGTAATAAGTAATTATTTTTTCACCACAGTAAACTTCACATCAGAATTAAAAGACCACTAAAAACTGGTCCCAAATTCAAAATTAATTTTCTCACGAACTAACATAATTTTGAAATTTTTTACCCACAGGTTTATTCCATTTAGCAACGAGGCTAAAGCAGAAATTTTTATTGTAATTTTTGTTTTAACATATTCGGCATGCACGAGATATGTGCATTAGCTAAAATACCAAATATCTACTTGAACTAAACTGTAGTACCACCTTTTCCAAACAATTTGTTTTTTGATTCACAACATTATCCCTGTTTATAATTAAGATATATACTATAATAACATGGGTTTGTTGTAAAAATTTTAAAACAACAGTAATAAAAAAAAATAATGACAACAAAAAATAAAAGAAAATCAATGTCACATATCAATCAATATGACATATTTTCACCTTTATTCACTAGTCTAATCTTTTATTGATTAATGTTGATCAATCTTTGATCATATTTTCAATGTCGAGGGAAAAAGAGGATGCCAACAATATAGTTTTTAGATTTTTAGTAGAAACTGGTGGCCTTAATTTTACTATGTATCTCAATTAATAGCAGAGGCAATAACAGGAAGTAAAAAACCACTGTTTAGAAAAGATGGTTCTATAGTTTGATTCATTATTCTACTTGGAACCCCTACAGGTTGTTTCAAATTTTAAGCAAAAAATTAACCTTGCACCCTGTATAAGCTGAAGATTGAAATTTCAATAAAAGTTTCTACCAGTATAGTTATTCATTGGAAATCCACAATTAAAAAAAAAATTCAAATCTGATCAGTCACTCATGAGAGACAATTTTCAAATTTGGGCCTATTTTTAGTGGTGCGTTAATTTTGAGACGAAGGGTATTTTAAAAATAATAATCCTTATTATTTTTTTAAAAGGTGACAAAATAAAAATTGAAACTTCCAACTTCCTCGGTACACTATTTATAAATTAAGTGTTATCATTCACAGCTAGGTATGGACCAGTGAGGAGTAAATACAAATACAATTCCTGAGTCATAAGTCTTAAGAGGTAAAAGGTAAAAGTACACAACCCAAAATTTAATAGAGACATCACTAGAATACTTTTAAAATTATCATTTTGGACTTAATTATAATTCGTCACTGAGAGGGAATACTAAAAACAACTAAATAATTTTGTTTATAAAGCTTATCTTAGTTTATCCTTATAAGTTATTATAATTATTTATCCTTTTAAATTATGAAATAAATTTTTATAAATTACAATAACTATCGAGTGAATAAATATTAAATGGGGTATATTAAACAATTTGTATAACTGTATAGTGTATTTTTTTATGATTTTCTTAAGTATTTTGTGAAGGATGTTCAATGAATGGAATGGAACAACGGAACAGTTTAAGGAAAACTCGTATTTATGGGTCCATCTTTTCTATTTATACTACCTTTTTCCATTCTGGCAATATTTCTATTTTATTTTGAGTGGCGTATAAAAAAGATTTGATAATACCTGATCCGCGACGTGTTGTTCCACTGCAATGGCTGCCAAAAAAACGCCTTGGCTTCACTACGCTCACACTCATGAAGACCCTTTAGCTTACATGCTATTGGCATATTAATTACATAACTTTTCGGGACTAAATGTAGATACTTTATCTACATTCTACCTAATTTATTTGTGTTTCTTTAAGTGTCCATGTCATAGTTATAATAAGGAAAAAAATTGAAGTTGACACATTTACACAACTATATAAGAAATACTAAATGCAGAGTTACAGTAAAATGATTTATGTATCGATACATAATTGACATACACAATTCTATTTAAACAAATTTAGCTTGTGTTTTTGCTTCATTCAATTCATAATAAAGTTAATATTACTTCCAAAGTTAAAGAGACTTTAAGCACTTTAGGCTTCAATTTTGCTTCTGTTTATATATAGAAATTCTGAAGTGACTATATACAATCCATTTTTATTCAGATTCTTATTTTTTTGAAACTAACTATGAGTCAAGTTATTAAGCACAGAATTACTTAACTTTCTGAAAGAAAAAACACTTTCACTCAAAAAGATAAAATTTTGAAATGATTTTTAAAATAGTGCCTATGGTCTAGATTAAAATGTAAGTTGTGTTTATGACAAAATGAAGATTCCTTAAACACTGTATCACAAAAAACATATTCAAATATGTTACACGTACTTCGTAACTTTCCCCTAATCATTTGTAAATTTTATTTCAACTGGACTGGTGAAATACAATAAATTCCATTTTAATATTCAATTTATGTTGAATTAATTAGTACTTAATTTTCCAATAGATTATGTAAATATGTCAAACAAATGATAAAAAGACATTTATTTAAATCAGTAAATTGACAAACTCTAAATTAATATTAAAATTCCATGTAACATAACATGACATACTAAATTAATAATTTCATATTAATTGAAAATAAAAACCAATATTTATTTGACTTCTGAAATGTTATCTTTTTATCATTCAAAATTTTTAAGAGTTGATTATTTTTGATGTTTCCGCGTCTTCCTATCTGAAGATTTATTGTAATAATGCTGTCTAAATTTAAGGGAAGAAAAGGTACAACTATATTCCTGTAAGATTCCATAATAGATACTTACAAAAACATCATAGATATTGAGTAGAGTATATCAACAAATACGACATATTTCTACATTAGTAAGTAATAAATTTATTGTAAATAACAACTGTTATAAATTAATATACTTTAATTAAATAAAGTAATAAATGATGTTAGCATAGGGCTGAAAATTTGTTCTTACCTCTCTGCGTTTTTCTTCTTCTCTTTGTTTTTCACGTCTTCTCTCCAGATCTTCCATTAATTGTTTTTCCATTATTCTCTTGGCTTCTTCAACTCTTTTAGTAACTTCCCTTTCAATTTCATCTTTTCTTTTTTCCAATTCTTCTTCAACTCTTTTTTTCACAAGCTCCTCTATTCTTTTTGCTGTTTCTTCTTCAATTAGTCTTTGTTCGGCTTCCCTTTGTCGCCTTTGTCTTTCCATTTCTGCCAAACGTTCTACTTCATCCATTTTTCTTGATTTATGCTTTTTACTAGAATGTCTGTCATTTTTTGTTAAATCTATAGAAGCTTCACTGCTAGATGTTGAAGATGTAGAATGGGACCTTTTTCTAAAAAAAAAAAGAATATAAATAACTACTGATAAAACAAATATTTTATTTTTCGCGTTTCATACTAATAAACTTTTTATCTAGAATTAAATCTTATGTATGAACTGAAATGTTATTTTCACAAATATTAACCACTAAAAACAAAGCTTTAATTATTGCTAAAAAGAAGGAAAAACAAGTATACGAAATATCTGAGGTTACTAATCCAATAAACTATAATCATCCTAAAAACTGAAAATATTCCTCAACATAATATGTACCTACATACATACTTGGAATAGTAACTGACAATTATAAGTAAACAATTTACCTTGTTTTAATACTCTTATCTTTTATTTTATCAGTTCTTTCGATTCTCTCTGCATTTTTATAATTTTTCTGACAACTAGAACTTCTCTCCCTAGATTTGCTTCGTTTATGATGTTTACTTTTGTGATGCTTTCTAGGAGACCGACTTCTAGACCTAGATCTACCCATTTTTATTTGTTTTTATTTAAGAAAACTTAATATTAATTATAAAATACAAAACGTCACTTGCATTGCACCCCGCAACCCGCAATAAAATTACAATTGACAACTGACAAATATACACCACAGATTACTGATACACCATACACCTTAGAATATTTTAAGTAAGATAACACTGATCTCTGTACAGTGTTGCCAGATGACTTACGATAATGTTTCGTCTTTATTCAAAGCCGTTTTCTTTTGCTCTCACAATCAGCTTTGAATCATGATCACTGAATCAGGATCAGACAAACACGAACTATAGATCCATGAATCCAATTTCGAAGAGAACGGATTTTATTTACTATTGTCATTTGATTTGTTTAAATATCGTTTACCTATTCTTCTGTGCTCAATTAAAATCAAAATAGTAACTGCCTTCTTAGAGAAAAACGAAACCACCACAATTCTTAGGTTGTATTAAATATGTGATCGTGATCATATGTTCGAAACACAGAAAAAAATTGATTCATAGTTTAAAGGGGATTGCCGATCCTGATCATATAATTTGACTTGATCTGGAAACAAGAAAACAACACATGATTCTGGGATCATATAACGCGTTCAGATCCGAAAACGGCACCCGAAAGAAAGTAACTAATATAAATTATCTTTTGGAGGATAATCCGCGATAATTTTTAAGATGCAAGCGCACCAAGCGGCGAAAGCAGTAAGCTCCGAAACAAGGTAATTTTGACATTGCCGTTCGCGTTTACACATTCATTTGAACATGTGTCTTATTTGCCATTATTATTAGTAATTTTGTTATCAAACTGCGGTTATTTCACTTTTGTGTTATTTTATAGGTTTCAAATATTTCATAAATAAATTTTAAGGCAAGTATTTATGTCTACTTTATTTGTCTCTAGCATTACAATTTAATGTACATTTTATTAGGTTATAACTATGAACTTATCCGTTGTGGAATACATTTCCTGTTTACATACATGCCAACGAAAACTCTCGTTGTATTTTAGAAGGAGAGGCAGTTTTTAAGGCTGATCATGTGGTACTATATGGGAAAATTGAGCAAAGTTAATTTAAATCTAGAAATTTATATTATGTCTGCAGACTAGTGCCCTTACTTACTAACAACCCTCATGAAATTCAGGGAGTATTATCTATCGGCAATATTTTGAAAATTTCTTCAATGGTTTGATGAAAACTTAATTCTGGATTTTTCTTGGACCATGAAGAGCAACCTTGAACTGAACAATAATAGTTTGACAGATTCTTCTTTCTATCCATAATTGCTGAAATTTTCCTCACACTATTTTCTTAAAATAACAGTGTTCAAAAAACGAACACTAAATCCAGTTTTAAATAAAATACAAAACGAAATGTCACACACAGAAGAAATATTTACCTTGTTTCGCTAGTATCACTTGTCACCGCCAGAGGGCGAGCTCTTAGCTGCATTCGCGAATACCCCTTTTAAAAAATATTCCGATAATGCTGTTATTTCAGAGGAATTGTTTACTTATTCCTCTGAGGCTGTTATCTTTTGCATATTGTTGTGATATTATAACCCAGTCAAAGTAGCTCCAAAGAAGAAGAAATAAGAAAATTATAACGAATGTTAGGAACACCATTATAAATTAAATGTGAAAAGTCCCCATCTATCCCACATCTGCAAAAAAAAATGTATTCAAGGTTCACAAATATGGATTATTGCATTTGTCAGGCAAACGGTAAGTTTTATCATAAAAGTAAGTCTAACAAAAGTTGTATATCACGCAGTTATCTTTAAAAATTGTCCTTACACTTTTTTCCTAAGTCTCATCATTTCTGAGATATAGCGATTAAAAAGTTGAAAAAGTTGTGTTCTCCATAATATGCACACGTTTCCACGTCGCCTGTGAAGCAATGTCGGATTAACCGTGATAGTCCATTGAAAAAGTTACATTTGGGGTTGTAAAAGTCAGAGCACGCAATTTTATTTTTTGGGATGTCAAGAGGGGGTTAGTGTAAGTTAAATCCATGTTTGTGGGGTCGCAACCAGAGACAATAGATAACTATAGATAGCTAACTCGAGTGGAGGGGGAAGGACTGTAATAAGCATCAGCGCCAATGTGCCAAGTGTATCAAATAGAAGTCATTTAGCGGGACTTTTAAAATATATTGATAATATTAAATAATAAACTTAATTTTGCCTAAAATGATTATATCTCATACTGAGACTGTAAATAATATACCATAAAGAGACAGTATGTCACATTACTTTAAATTTTGAAACGTCATCAAAGTAATGTACAATAGTGTTTTTTTTTAAGTATATTATCTACAATCTTAGTATAAAATATAATCATTTTAAGCAAAAGTAAGTTTATTAAAACAACCCCTTCATCAATAATCCTTCTACTTCATGGGATTATTTCTTAATTGTTAATGGCAAAAAATACTCAAACTCTAAAATACTAAATACTGCCACAGAAAAGTAATTTCAGACAATATAT